GGGAGCCTGATGTGGGGCTCGATCCCAGGACACTGGGATCATGACCTGAGCCGAAGGCAGATGCTTAATGACTGAGCCACCCAGGCGCCCGCCTCCCCCCTTTTTTTTAACATTTTAGTGATTGGAAAAAAATCGAAGAGTAATATTTCATGCCATGAAAATTGTAGGAAATTGAAATTTCAGTGTCCATAAATAGTTTTATTTATGGGAAACACCATGCTTGTGTGTTCATATATTGTCTGTATTGTCTAGGGCTGCTTTCACACTGCTAACAGCAGAATTTAGTTGCAACAGATCCTATGACCTGTAAAGCATGAAATACTTTTTGTTTGGCTTTAAACAAAAAGTTTGCCAGGCTTTGATTTAGAGGCAGGTAAGTGTCATGATTAAGAGCAAGGAGTCTGGAGTCAAACTGCTCCTTAATACCTCATTCTGAGACCTTGGGCAAGTTACTTATCTCCTTTTTTTTTTTTTTTAAATTTTATTTATTTATTTGAGAGACAGAGAGAATGAGAGAGAAAGCACATGAGATGGGGGGAGGGTCAGAGGGAGAAGCAGACTCCCTGGTGAGCAGGGAGCCCGATGCGGGACTCGATCCCGGGACTCCAGGATCATGACCTGAGCCGAAGGCAGTCGCTTAACCGACTGAGCCACCCAGGCGCCCTACTTATCTCCTTGTACCTGAGTTTCCCCATCTGTAAAAATAGAAGAATCACAGTGCTGACTTCATGCGGTGATCATGAGGGTTAAATGAGTTAATTTACATAAAGCACTTAGAAATGTGCCTGGTACATGGTAATCACTAAGTATTAGATGTCAGTTGATAACTAAGTATGTTAGTTGTTACTAAGTATTAGCTGATAATCACTTTGTAACATGAACTGGAAAATTTGCATTGAAATCAGTTCTGACTGAGAATAGCTACAAATTTATTAAGGAAATACTTATTTGTTAACTGTATGCTTCCAGATTTTGATTCACTGGTGTTCAAAGTAGTGAAAATTATGAATCTAACACAAAGCATAGTGAGCATATGTCTTTACATTGCTGATGCACATTGTATAAAAGATTGTTTTTCTGCCATGCAGTATGCTAGCCATAGGGGAGAATTACTTGATTTTTGAAATGAAATGTAAGATAAATTTATTTCATGACTGTGATAAATCTACTATGATTATTTTTGTGATTCCAAGTGTCTTTGTCAGGAGTCCTATCAGAAATATATTTGGCATGTTGAATAGCTTGAACCTATCACAGTTTTTTTTTTATGTTAAGGATACACTATCAGAATTTAAGGGACTAAACTATGAACATAACAAGATTTACCATTTTAACACATTTTTTAAAGTGTATTATTTGGTAATGTTAAGTATATTCACATTGTTGTGTGTTGGATGTTCAGAACTTTTTCATACTGTGAAACAAAGTCTATACCTATTAAACAACAACTCTCTATTTCTTCCTCTTGACAGCCTCTGGTAACCACCATTCTGCTTTCTATTTCTACGAATCTGACTACTTTAGGTACCTCATATAAGTGGAATCACCCAGTATTTTGTCTTGTTGTGATTGAGTTATTTCACTTGACAGATGGCCTCAAGGTTCATCTGTGTTGTAGCATATGACAGGATTTCCTTCCTTTTAAAGGCTGAAGAATATTCTAGGATATGTGTAGACCACATTTTGTTTATCATCCACTGATGGACATTTGCATTGCTTCCATCTCTTGGCTATTGTGCATATTTTTGCTGTGAACAACGGTGTACAAATATCTCTTTGAGGTCCTGCTTTTAATTCTTTTGGATAAGTACTCAAATAGGATTGCTGGATCAAACAGGGTAATTCTACTTTTAATTTTTTGAGGAGCCACTATAGTGTTTTCATAGAGGCAGCACCATTTTACATTCCTATCAACAGGGCACAAAGATTCCAGTTTCTCCACTTCCTTGCCAACACTTGTTACTTTCTCATCTTTCCTCCCTCCCTTCCTTGATAGTAGCCATCCTAATGGTGTGTAGTAATATTTCATTGTAGTTTTGATTGGCATTTCTATCCATCCAACTTTTAAGAGAGATGATCTTATTAAAAGTATCTAACACAGTAAGCCTCCTCTCAGTAAGGAGGCTTACCACTGTTTTGGGGGTCTATTATATTTGTTTTTTTAAAGATATTATTTATTTATTTATTTGCCAGAGAGCGCACACGCAGGGAGAGCAGCAGGTGGAGGGAGAAGCAGGCTCCCCTCTGAGCAAGGATCCTCGCTGTGGGACTCGATCCCAGAACCCTGGGATCATGACCTGAGCCGAAGGCAGATGCTTAACCGACTGAGCCACCCAGGCGCCCCTGGGGTCTATATTTGATCTGAATATCTAGAGTTATCTAACAGCCATTATACTTGGTGCCGTTCTTAGGGATGTGTAATTGAGAGCTGAGATATTTTTTAACTTTTTGCAAATAAGGAGTAAGGTGAGAAACTGCCTTGATTAGAACTTGATCTTTTGCTAAGTCATCCATTATTGAGATGAATATAGATCATGTCTCTGTAAAAGATGAAAACTAATATGAAAACCTTTTTATCACTATTAGAATTTTAGCTTTTACCTCTAATTATATTTTAGCTTTTCTTCTAATTATATGGGCACCTAGGTGGCTCAGTTAGTTAAGCGACTGCCTTCGGCTCAGGTCATGATCCTGGAGTCCTGGGATCGAGTCCCACATCGGGCTCCCTGCTCAGCAGGGAGTCTGCTTCTCGAACCTCTGACCCTCCCCCCTCTCATATGCTCTCTCTCTCTCTCTCATTCTCTCTCTTTCAAATAAATAAATAAATAAATCTTTAAAAAAAATAAAGTATTGTTTGTTATAGAACATAATTAACCTTAAGTCAGTAAGTACCTGCCAGGGCCACCTGGCTGGCTCAGTTGGTAGAGCATATGACTTGATGTCAGGGTGGTGAGTTCAAGCCCCATGTTGGGTGTGGAGCCTACTTAAAAAACTTAAAAAAAAAAAAAAAGTTAAAATATTTAAAAAATACGTAAATAGGTACCTGCCAAAAGATTTCAAAAGAGATATTTTAATTTAGAATTGGATTGTAGAATGGGATACAAAAATTGTATTTTTAACAGAAAAATAAGCAATTTTATCTCGTGCAAGTTTTTTTTTTTTTTTTTTTTTCAGGAAAAGAACCAGCTTTCCCATGAGCTGGTGCTTGTTGATAATAGAATTACGAATGTTTTTGAAAATCTTTCTTTGAAAACACAGTATCAATATATCTAATAAAATATAAAAGCAAATAGTAAATGCTACTTGGTTTGCACTTTTGGTGTATAAACATAAAACTGAGGAATAGGTGTCCTAACTGGTCTTCAATTGTTTGGTGTTTGATTTTAGGGGAACCACACTGAAATTATGTAAAGGCAGACACCATTTAAAATTTTCTTGTAATATTAGTAAGGTAGTTACAGGGAAGGTTTATGATTCATTTATGATCATACTAGTATCTTCAGCCGTCCTGGGGTCAGCTGAGAGCCCAGTGAAGTAATGTAAGTAGAGAACAAGTTTGAATAAAGTCACACAACAGCCCAGTGTGTGTCCATACATTTTTATCCCCCCTGGGAAAAGTGAAACTTATAGCACAGCTCTCCTCTGTCACCTAGATACCTCCAGAGTAACCATTGACAGGGCTTACACATTTAAACCATAGGGTATAAAATAAATGGGTAAGTTTGAGTAGAAAATAGAACATCCAACTCGAAAGTAGTAAACTGTGGGCTTGATTTACTTTTTTTTCCCCCTCCCAATTCCAACCCACATTTTCCTTCTCTCTCCCTACCAAATAACTTTTTTTTTTTTTTTAAACTTTTATCATGTTTGTCTTCTGAACCCACCTGGTTCACCAGGACCTTTTTAGTTTCACCATCTCAAGCATTTCAAAGTAACCTTTCCAAGCAAATTTGGAGCTGTGTTCTCAGATGACTGAGGTTAAATCTTATGAAATTTAGAGCTATAGACACCGGGAGTGATTTGTGTCTCGTGAAACTGGGCATAAATTGAGTCTAGTTTTATAGTCTCTGCCAGTAGTATCTCTGAGGCCATGCCTTACAAGTGGGGTGGTCTCCAGGCCTGTCACCCCTGGACCCACATCAGCAGATCCTCAGGTGTGATGGGTCTGCAATCCTCGTGCCCAGGAAGCTTCTGAGTTTTTTCAGTTAATCTGTTTTTTTTGCTTGATTCTGTTCTGTATTCTTTAATTTGTCAGGCAACAATTTTCAAGTATTTTAAAAGAAACCGTGTTTGGATTTTGCATGTCTCCCATGTCTTATCTGAATTTTCAATCACAATTCAAAGGTTATTCTTCTAACACTTTTAACTAGAAGAACTTTCTAGAACGCAAAGAATGTTTATATCCTGAAGAGAGTTACAGAGACCACATAAATAGGGCTTATATATATATTTGGACCACAATCTTGTCTTACTCATGTGTTATGTAATGTGATACCTAACTCTTCAATTGTATCATAAGCTTTTAGGCATGGACTTTATACTGTGCTCTCCAGTGGAAACGTAACACAAGCCATATATGTAATTTAAAATTTTCTAGTAGCCACATTAAAAATAAGTAAAAAGAAACAGATGAAAATAAGTTTAGTAGTGTACTTTATTTAACCCGGTATAATAATCTAAACATTATTTCAGTGTGTAATCAATATGAAAATTAAGATTTACATTTTTTTCTCATACTTAATCTCCAAAATCCAGTGTTATTTTATTCTTAGTGCACATCTCAGTTCATACTAACCATATCTTAGATACTCAATAGCTGCATGTAGCTAGTGACTACTGTTTTGGGCAGTGCTGTCTTACACTTTTATAATTTAGTGCTAGTAATAACATGATTGTTGTTTTGTGTGTGAATGTGTGTGTGTGTCATCTTAGTTACAAATTTCTCTAATTGAATAAAATATAAAATATTTTTAAATGCGTATATTTTCTTTCTCTTAAAGGCTCTTCCTTCTTCAATGATTATAGTAGCAGTTTATTGTCCTGTGATAGCTGCTGTTTTCATTGTTCTGAAGATGGTCAACTATCGACTCCACAGAGCACTTGATGCTGGAGAAGTTGTAGATAGGAACGCAAATGAGTTCCCAGATCAGCGAGCCAAAGCTGAGCAAGGCAACTGTTCATCTAGAAGAAAAGACAGTAATGGACCGAGGTAAGGAAACCCATGCTGCTCAGTTTGTAAGAATGGGGATCATGCATGCGTACAATGATGTTATTATTGTGTTGTTCCTCTGTTCTGATATGTGGTTTTAAGGCAGTGTTAGTCTTGCCACAGGAGGTATGATGACAAGTACAGATTGTCACATTAGACCCCAGCAAAGCTAACTGGCTTATCTGGGGGATTAAATAAGCGTCCTGGCCTTATTACCAAATAACATGCTAGAACAGTAACAGTTATAATTGTAAAATAGTTATTCACACCAAGACCAAAACCAGTGAAAAACCGTGTAAAGAAATAATTTTAAAGCATGGCTTATAAATCTTAGCATTTATATTTTATTTATACGTATAAGTAAAATGTGTATATATTTTAAGCACATTGTGATATTTTACTTGACATTTTTAATCTGCATTTTTCACTTAATCTGTTGTAAATACTTTTCAATTATATATTCTTACCTTAGAAACTTCGCTGTCCCTTCCCTCCATCTTTGCATAAATGACCTCTTAGGATTCACGTTTGTGTAGATGTCACCTCCTGGAGGTTTTCTGTCCCCTCCCAGCTGAATCGTCCTCCTGTGGCTCTCAGTTGACATTTCTCTTCATTGCCTTGGCCTCATCCCCTTCCTCTTGTTGACCAAAGGATTTATTTATCCATAATCAGACGCTTATTGTGACTTCCTAGAAGTGATAGGTACCACTAATAATAAGTCTTCAAAGAACAGTTACTATATGAACACTTGTTCTATGTAATAGTCCTCAAAACAGTTCTGTGAGGTAGATGCTGTTATTATTCCTGATTTATAGATGTGGAAACTTGGGTGAGAAAGATGAAATATTCCAGGGACTCTGTTCTGGAGTCCATGTTTTTAACCACTCTGCGATGTTTCCACTCAGTATAATAAGAAAGTGGGTACTCATCTTTTAAGATAGGAAATGTTTCTGTTTTCCAGTACATCGAGTTTATCCCTTTTCAATTATGTTTTCCTCCACCCCTGACATGATTACCCTTTTTGTTCATTGAGCAAATAGTTCGCCTCTGTAATAATTTTGTTCATAGCTCTAATCACTACCTGAAATTATCTTACTTAATCATTTGTTTGCATTATAAGCTTCTTGAAGGCAGGGGCCTTGTTTTTCCTATGAACTATTTTATTCCCAGGTTCTAAAACAGAGTCACTGATAGGTACTCAGAAAATATTTGAAGTAGTGAAAGCATTTATTTCTGCATACTATTTTTAATAACTGCACAGTATTCCATTTTGTAGGTATGTCATAATTTAACTGTCTTGATTTTCATTACTTTAATTATTTTTTAAATTTAAATTTGTATGTTAGATCACTATGATGTTTAAATTTTTTTTTAAAAGATATTATTTTTGGGACGCCTGGGTGGCTCAGTCGGTTAAGGTTCTGCCTTTGGCTCAGGCCATGATCCCACCGTCCTGGGATTGAGTCCCACATTGGGCTCCTTGCTCAGTGGGGAGCCTGCTTCTCCCTCTGCCTACCGCTCTTTCTCTCTCTTTCTGACAAATAAATAAATGAAATCTTAAAAAAAATATTTTATTTTTAAGTAATCTCTACACCCAGTGGTGGGACTCAGACTCACCACCCCAAGGTCAAGAATCACACAGTCTACCAGCTGAGCCAGCCAGGTCCCCCTGGGATGTTTTCCTTTTAAATGATTAAAATTTTAATTATAATGTAGGAGAGGTAGAACACTAGAAAGCTATACCCATTTTTAAATTTTTCAATATATATTGCCAAATTCCAAAGATTTACCTTCTAATTACCATGACCAGCAATTTGAGTGCTTCTTTTTCTGCACTTTGACAACATTGAGTATTTGGTATTTAGACAAAACTGTGGTAGCTATCTCATTGTTTAATTTTTAAGTTTTTTTTTTTTTTAAGATTTTATTTATTTTTGAGAGAGAGAGAGAGAGAGAGAGCATGAGAGAGGGGAGGGTCAGAGGGAGAAGCAGACTCCCTGCTGAGCAGGGAGCCCGATGGAGGGACAACATCCTGGGACTCCAGGATTATGACCTGAGCCAAAGGCAGTCGCTTAGCCAACTGAGCAACACAGGCGCCTCTTAAGTTTTTGGATTATTAGTTAAATGGGTATATTTTTCTTTGTTGTTATTGTCACATATTTTGTGAATTGTTTATTTTTCTGTTGGTGGTTAATTTTTGCTGTTGATTTGGAGAAGGTATTTATGAAGGATATTAATTCTTTACGTTTTTTGTCAAATACTTTTCCTCAGTTTATAGCATTTTATTTATATGCCACAGTTTATTTTTATGTGGTATTCTGTGAATGTTTATTAGTTCTGCCTTTGATACCAAGTGTGTGATATTTTTTCTTCCCCCATATTATTTAAATGTTTGCTTGTGTCTACTTTCAGCATTTTTATAATTTTTCATTCTTAAATTGTATTCAAACTGAAAACATTCTTTTTTTGTTTTTGTTTTTTAGGTTAGTCCAAACACTATTGAGTAAATAATGTATTTCCCCCCAGTAATTTTAAATGCTTTCCTTTTCATGTAGCATACTCATATGTACTAATGTCAGTTTCTGGGCTTTGTTTTCTGCCTCATTGATCTCTTTCTCTTTTGTTTATACCAAACTGGTGTTTTGTTTTGTTCTCTTTTGTTTTGTTTGTTTTTTATTTTGTACTGTTTTTATGGCTTACTAATATGTATAATATTTAGCATTGTGAATCCCTTTTCAGTATTTTTCTGTTTCAGTGTTATCTTGGTTCTTCTCATGTATAAACAACTGACCGCTGAACAATGAGGGGGTTAGGGGCGCCAGACCCCTCACCCTGTGCAGTCAGAAATCCATGTGTAGGGGCCCCTGAGTGGCTCTGTTGGTTAAGCATCTGCCTTTGGCTCAGGTAATGATCCCAGGGTCCTGGAATCGAGCCCTGTGTCGGGCTCCCTCCTAGCCTGCTTCTCCCTCTCCCTCTGCTTATGTTCTCTCATTCTCCCTCTCTCTCAAATAAATAAATAAATAAAATCTAAAAAAAAAAAAGAAATCCATGTATAACTTTTTACTCCCCCCCCAAATTAACTACTAAAGCCTACTGTTGACTAGAAGCCCTATTGAGAGCATAAACAGTCAACTGAAACATATTTTGTACGTTAAATGTATTAATGTATGTAGTGTATTCTTATAATAAAGTAAGCTAGAGAAAAGACATTGTTTTTAAGAAAATCATACAGAAGAGACAATACATTTACAGTACTGTAAAATGTAAAAAATCCACATATAAGTGGACCTGCGCAGTTCAGACCTGTGTTGTTCAAGGGTCAACTGTACATAGTTTTTTGTGAGATGCTCCCTTTGCTCATCCTCCAGAAAATTCCATTAGACTTGATAAGTGTATTCAATATGGAGGGAACTCAACGTTTAAAATATGAAGTCTCATCAGGAACATGGTGTATATATCCATTTTTTCACGTGTCTCATAAAATTTCATTTTTTCTATGGATTTTATGTATTTTTTAAGTCTATTTTATTTTTATTAGGAAATGCATACGCTTGTATTATGGGTAAACAAACAGAATGTAGGCTCTGCACTTGATCTGCTAGGGCTTGAATCACTTCCTGACTATATGACCTTGGGGGAGTTGCTTAAGCTTTTTATGCCTTGGCTTTCTCATCTGAATGATGAGGCAAATAATAGCACTATATCTTATGATATAGGATACAAAGAATGAATGAAAGATAATATATATAAAGCATTTAAAACCATTCCTTTTCTTTTAAGGGGGCAGGGGCAGAGGGCAAGGGAGAGAGAATCCTCAAACAGACTCCCCACTGAGCACAGAGCCCAGCGATATGGGGCTTGATCCCAGGACCGTGAGATCATGATCTTAGCGGAAACCGAATCAGATGCTCAACCAAGGGAGCCACCCAGGCACCCCTAGAACCATTCTTATATAGTAATCACTCAGTAATTGTTAACTCTTATTTTTTCTGGATATTATATATGTTTTTAATTCCTTAAAAAAATTTTTTTTTCAAGATTTTATTTATTTGAGAGAGAGAGACAGAGTAGGAGAGGGAAAAGCATACTCTCCCCACTGAGCAGGGAGCCGGATGCCGGGCTCGATCCCAGGACCCTGAGATCATGATTCGAGCCGAAGGCAGACGCTTAACCACCTAGCCACCTGGGCGCCCCTATGTTTTTAATTCCTTTCATTATTGTTTTTCCATTTTCTTTTAATTTAAAAATATTTATTGTGAAATGTATGTATTTCTAAACACCTTATCAGTCATATCATTCAGTATAATTTAGAGAATAATAATAAAGTGACTATTTGAATACCCACCACAAAACTTAAGAAATAGGTTATTATACAAATACCATCCAAGCCTTTATGCACCTCTTTCCCATTTATTCTGTTCTTTTTCCTTCAAGAGTGACCATTATCTTGAATTTTATGTTAATAATTCCCTTGCTTTTCTTTCTTGTGATACAGTCTTTGTACATATTACTAAACATATTAATTTTATCTGCCTTAGGATATCTTAAAGAGAATAATACTGTATATATTCCTCTGAGGGGCTTTTTTTGTGCGAAATATTGTATTTTATAAGCTTATTCATGTTGATGCTTATAACTATCATTTATTCATATTTACCGTTGCATAGTCCACCACTGGGGGAATAGACTACAATTTACTTACCCATTTTATTTATCCATGTGTTCTGAAGACACATTATTATATGTGTTTCTTGGTACACATGTGTATATCTAGTGAATATAAACTGGTTCATAGGGTATTTTCATGTTCAGTTTTATTAGATAATTCCAGCCTGTTCGCCAAAATGATTGTACCAGTTTATATTCCCACCATTAACATGTGAAAGTCCTTATTGTTCCATATCCTCATCAATATTTGATTTTGATAAGCTTTAAAACTTTGCCATTCAAATAAGTGTTAAATGTGTCTCATTGAGACTTTCAGTTAAACTTTCTGATTA